ATAAACAATACTACATAAATAACAATAACAGTGAAGGATGTAAAAGAATAAAAAACTGAATAATAATATTCATTAATTAGAAAGAGTAATTAAAACAGCAGATATAAAAAGAAATTGATATAGTTAAAAGAAATATAAAATAACTTGAAATAGTCGGTAAAGATGTGATAAAAAGATAAATGTGCAAAGAATAAATTTAATAATTCAATAAAAATAAATAACAATACAAATTAAAAATAACGAAAGAAAAAATCAAATAGAGTTGTCAATACCAAATTTTCTTTTTCATTATTGCTGTTGAATAATTAACAAAAACAACAACACGATAACAAAAGATGAAATGAAAATGAATAATGAAGATGAAGAATATGATAATGATAATAATGAGTATTGAAATTAATTAACACAATAAATAATAAATAAAATGAATATCATTTAAATTAATCAATTGTGTAAAACATAAAATTAGTATGATAATTAATATGATGAAGAAGTTGAATATTCAAATAATACACTATGTAAAAAATCAGTAAAAATGAATTTGAAGTAGTTTCTTGTTGAATATGTATTATATATGAATTATATTATTAATCAAAATTGAAGTATTAATATTTAATATTTAGTGTATGAATGATGAATAATTGTATAAAACAATCAACACATGAGAATAAAAACAATGAATATATAAAATGTTCATTCATTTTATATTATGCTTTTGAAAAAAAAATAAATTTAATAACATAATAATTAATTTATGTGAAATTAAAATGAGTTTATCAATACTATGAAATTAAAATGAAAGTTATAAAAATAGTATGAAATAGTATAATTAAATAGTCAATTTATTTTGATTTATTGATATTATATAATAATCATTTTAATCATTTTTTGTTTATTTGATAATTTCATTATTATTTTAGAATATAAAATACGTGATAATATTAATATTAAAGAATAAAATGAATGTTAATATTAGTCGGTGTTGTTATATTCAGAATTGATTATTATATTGTTTGGTATATTCTATTAATCACTGAACAAATTATTATATAGTTGTATTAGTTATTTCACTTTGAACATACTCTCTTTTAGTTTACATTAAAATGAATCAATCAAATAAAAATGAATATTTGAATAATTGTTATATTTGTGAAGGTTATTTATATTTTGATTTGATATTTATTTTATTTATTCATTTAATCATTGTCATCATAATAATTTATTTAAATACTTGAATATTATTTTGTTAATGAATTGAATATTCTGTATTATTGATTATTCAACAATATTTCTAACTCAAGTTATTCATATTATTTATATTTCTCATTTTCATTCTTTATGATTTATTTTATATGAAAATATCAAATAAATTTTTTAAATTTATTTAACTTAAATTCTTTTTCATTAAATTATTATTTAATAGTATTTATTTAATTGGTATTCAACCAACAATACATCAATTATTCTGTTTATTTCTTTTCATCATCTTCAAATTTTGTTATTCCATTGATATTCTCGTGCGATTCATTGTTCATTTCTTTCATTCTATTCAGATATGTACAATATTCTGTATATTCATTTTCTGTAATGATGTTTAGTTCATACAACTTCTCTATTTGGTTGTGACATTTATTTATTTCTTCTTTAATAATGCTCGTTATTGTTTCAACTGAAGATTCTAACTCACTATCCTGACATTTTGTATTGTCTGGTTGTATTGTTAATTGTTTTAGAATTTGTTGTACATTTTTTTGATTCTCTAAAATTAATGACCCAAACGAATGCTTGTTCTCATGAAAATACTCTTGTAATTCAGGTTGGAAATACTTTGTGAATGTTTCTTGTAATACCATGTTATCAGGAAATAACTTTGTTCCATTGATCCATGCATCAATCTCAGTTGGTGCTTTGCTCATTTCAACTTTATTTCGTTTTTATTAGTTCATTCTTATTGTATAGTTTATTTATAGTTCAATTATACTATTAACACAGGATTTTTTTTGAATTTGTGTTGAACAAAATATTAAATA